AGAGCAGCCTGTATTGTGGCGGGTGTCAGATTAAACTTGACTTAAGCTGTTTTCACAGACAAACTCAGGACAGCGTTTCTCTTTCTCACATTTAGCAGACAACAGGACACACTCTCAACAGCTGTAAATAGTCTAGTCCTGGCAAGAGTGCTGGCTAGGTAAAACATGCAAGAGGCAGGATGCAAAGTCCACCAGCTTTCTGTAAAATCTCCAGGAAAATACCGACTCAGTTCTCGATCAAATATCACACAGGCTTAGTAAAAAGAAGCTGACAGGCTAAAGATGTCAGATGGTTAAATTATGTTTGAAATGTTTTGGACCCCAACGCATGTGTGAAAATAAGTTTACTGTATGACTTTGCAACTGATTTTTCTTACGTTTCAGTAGTTTTGATTACCGAGTCTGTAGTCATGCCCTGGATAATAATGGCTTTTTTAGCAGCCATTGGCTCTTCAGCAAATAAGACATTTAAATATGGCAGCGGCTGATGCTAAACCATTGTGTCACATCAATCACTCAATGCGTGATTGTGTGACGAAGAGTTGGAAGACTGAAAACAGTGCAGTTGCTTTTTGATTTCTCTTTTTCCCGTGACAAATGGGGAAATAAATAACAACGACATTTAAAAACCATTCGCATTGCACATCTGCTAAATTGTCATTTTTAAACATCGGCATCAGCCTAGACTTTCCCGACTGGTGCGTCCTTAACTATTCTGTTCAGCAAGGTCATTAGTGTTATGAATATGAAGGTTTTTAACAGTTAAGGGGGAAATATCACATGCTAAAAACACATCATTAAGCCCTTCCGAGTAGGAACTTGCAGAGCATCCAGCTGCTTTGCACGGTCGTTGACATTTTAACCCAGCAACGATACCTATGATCAACTCTCATGGCAACAATGACAACCACTGCCTCAAACCTCTCCACAAACACACAGAGCATCAGTTCTCCCCAGATACACTTCTTGACATTTTGTCTGTCTGACATCATCGACCACAGTGGGCCTGGGACCTTTGCGCTACAGACCACTTTTTAAAGCTAACAGAGGCTCCAGGGTCAGGTTGCTACATAGTATTCAACCAGGATTTATGCAAAGAAGCAAAATATGTTTTTTAAACTGAGAAAATTGCTGGAATATTTTATACAAACTGCCCTTTGCTTTCAAAAAAATTTGGATTTTTTTAAAGCCTCTAGGCTTATCCCAGTTATTAATAAATGAAAATATCCTGCATGGAGAAAAATTAAAATAACTGTGCGCCTATCCCAAAGGCCAAGAGCGCACAATCGGCTGTAATGTGCAGCTCACAGATGAACGTCTTGAACTCTTGCTTTTTTCAATTTTATGTTGTTTCTGAATTTTAATTACAGCACTAAAACTGGCTGCGCGTCCCTCTACCCTTTGCCGTTTATCCAGAGTCGGACTGCAGCGGTTGCATGCAAAGCGAGGTTGTCCAGCTGTCGCTGTCTACAGCTTCAATTTTTAGCTCCTCCTGGGGGATCCAGAGCCATTCCCAGGCCAGATGAGATGCTCTATATAGTGTCTCTAGTGCATATCAGGATGTTTAAAAATTACAGAGCTACATCTAAAATGTTGTTTTTTTGTTTTTTTTTAAATGAAGGCGTGACGATGTAAAAAGAAATGCAGATGTATGTTTTGGGTTTTGCCCTTTAAGGCAAGAAGGTAGGTCAACATGAACGTTTAAGACTTTTTCATCCCCTGAGATCCTCTGCAGTGATTCCCACATGGAGTAAAGCCATCACAGATGGATACTGGAGCTTGTGTAGCACTGGCTACACAAATATGCAAACAACAACATAGCGCAATGCAAAGCTAAAGATGAGTCATTAATAAGAGCTCTCGATAATCAGGCTGTGCTGCTCTGAGGGCGATAATCATCGTCCGCCTGCTCTCCAAGTGATAAGCTAATCAGCCCTCCGTCTCTGCAGAGCCGTCGAGGGGACTCATCATCATTGACATTTCAGCACAGGATCGGGCCTATTGAGACACGAAGGGGAGGGGGTGGTTACCTGAAGAGACTTAATTATCATTGCTGCACAATGATATCCTCTTAACTCTATTTTGCCTTTTTTATGAAGGTTAACATTCCTCTTTCAATATTACAGTCAAGGTTTCACGGCTGCCGTTGACCCCTTTTGCAAAGTGCTTGTTAATTTTCCACATAATTACGCAATTGCATTTGCCATGTAAACATACAACGATCATCTATGCACACAACTCGCTTTTGAATTGTTTCCTCATATGCCAGGGCAATCTTGGAAAAATCAAGCCTCTGTCAGCAGCTCGCTTTCTAAGCAGCTGCAGCGTGAGTGTAGATGTTCTTCCTCAGACGAGACAGTTGTGTTTTTGCATGTTAAAATGAATTCATAACCTGTGGGGATACTGTCATGACAATCTGACAGCTTTTTAACAATACAGACCCAATGTAGCAGAGTCTCAGCTGAATATCTGTCATCCTCTCTCCAACCTGTGTTAGAGAGCTTACAGCATGGGGTCTAAAGCAGAACGCTCTCCTTCACTGGGGTTTTCTCGTTCTTACATTGCTCCAAAAACGCAGGAAGAGAAAGGATGTCATTACACAGCTAGTTCTAATCGAGATTAAATCTTCCTCCTGCCTTGTAAACTCGGCGCCAATAACAGTTCACGCCATCACCGGTTATGCAACAGATGCTACAGCGAAATGCAAAGAAGGATTCTGTGGCTCCCCGGCTCGAAATAACTTGCCCTCCCGTTTGCTTTGATCTCACAGGCATGTCTCCAAGGTGCGTCAAGGTACGTCAAGGCACAAGATGACATATCTTCCAGCTCCATAATGACCCATCTTCTTTTTCCTCAGTGAAAATTTTGGAGAGCTCTGACAGCTGATATTAGTTATACCCAGGTGCAAACAACAGGCTGACAGATTCATGCTGACAGAGCAGGCTAACGCCGATCACTATAGCCCGACTACCTGCTGTTATAAATATTGGAGCTGGTTCCAGTGGGGGGAAAAAACTTTCAAAGTAGTTTCTGTTGGGGATTACAGCATATTTGTAAATTCTTGTGGTTCTTCTTGTCTGAATAATCTGAAACACTGGTTTACAACTGTGAAAATTCCCATAAACAGCCGCTGAAGTCGGTAAAGACTTTGGAAAGTCCCAAGAAAGTACACGAGTGTGCACATTAAAGTAAATATTTAGTTGAATCTAAGGTACTTTTGAGAAACCGTGCATATTCATGTGACACATAGCATTGTTTGTTTCACTAATGTTTAATCTGTAACATGGTAAAAGGACATAACTGAGAGTTCCAGTGTGCAGACTGACTTTGACTAGTTAGAAAAGCCATTCAAGTGCAACAGTGCTGATAACAAGTCAGGTACGTCAATATGCCATCTAAACAGCAATAAACTACAACACCTAATCTGTGTTGTTTTAACATCTCAACTTAAAATCACAAATACAACAAAATCAGAGTAAAGACATTCCAGTACAGGGAAACAGAATCATGAAAAAACCTCATAAATGCAGCGATAACCTTGTCTTTTAGTGACCTTTCCCGTACGCGATTACTGTTATTTCTATCCATCAAAGGTGCGTTTTATAGTGACAGCAAAGTGTTTCTGTTATTCATGAGCAGGTTTATTTATACCTGCTTTTATTTTATGGAAAACGTTGTCACCGTTTCCTTAATAATCCCATTATGTCTCTGCGCCACTCAACAACTTCACAGGGACGTTATTTTTGGCACATGTTTATTCGCTGAGTGTCAAAGGTGCTTTTTAGTTTAAAGATGAAATCCATCAAACAAGCTGCTCTTTGTGGCTCACTGTGCTGCATCCGGGACTTCGCGTACAATCATTGTAAATCCTCCTATACCCAAACACAGGATATTGCTCTAACTTATTTCTTATAGGTTTTATAAAACACTCACACAGTGTCTTGCATTGTGCTTACATCACTTAACAGTAAGTTCACAGCACCATTCGGCTGATACTTGCTGATACCATCAGTCAATATTGGCCACAGTTACATGCATCACTGCACAGAGGTAGATATATAGAAAGTGGAGTTAAAGTTTTTATGACCCCTATCTCACTTTATTCAACTCTGAGTGTTTTACATGTGTTTTATTTGGGTTTAAGATGTCTAATTTGAAAAAAGAAAAGCACTGAATTAATTTTTTCAGATATTTTACTCTAAATGTTCTGGTATTGGTCTCTTAATTGACTACAGGGTGCCTTTTATCATAATATTAACATTTACGTCATTTTATCTTCTTAAATTTGTATGCACTGCGTGTTCGCAAGGCTGCTTCTTCTGCCATGATTCTGGAGTTCGTGTATTTTTCATACAGTTCGTGTAGTCGATATTCATGCAGCCCTCTTGACAAGGTATTTATTCCTGAAGGGCCACCTCAAGAGCAGGGGCCGAGCCATTCTCATCCCCCGCAGAGAACGCGTTTCCCCATCAACACCCTGTTGCTCCACACGACGAGGACCAATTTTTGCCATTACTCTAATGGTTAGTAAACGGACCGGCAGTTGTGATAGCGCCCCATTTCACGGCCACGCTTCCCGACAGGTAAACACAGATTTCAGGTCAGCCGTGCTGTAAGGGTTTGTAGCGGCTCAGGGAGGATTAGGTTTCCTGAACAGTCACCTGCCGACGAAAGCGGCGAGGAATTAGGACAAACACCGCAAACCAGGAGAGCCACACCTCGCGTCGTGGCTTACCGAAACTCAACACACACACATGCACACACAGATCTGATGTAGAGCTCGGACAATAAACTTTTACAATAGGTCTCGGCGCTCTGAGCAGCAGCCAGAGAGGACGCGGAGACGTGACACCGTCAAACATCCAGCACTCCGGGAACGCGGGCTGCCCTGCTGGAAAAGTGCCGGGGGTTGCTACATTCAGAGAACAAGAGGCTACAGGAGGCGAAGAACTGACGGGACTTCCATTGTAAGAAACACAGCTGGGCTCGTTCACACTTACCTTGGGCTGCAAGCAGGACCGCTACTGCCACCAGCCAAGCGTTTCTCATCGGATACACCGGGCAGCGCGCTGCGTAATCTCTCGCCATTCTTATACACAGGAGATAAGGTGGACGTAATATCCACAACAGCGCCGTGTGTTTCAGCCGGGCTCCAAATTATTCCTTCTCCGATCAGCCAAGAAACTTCGAGCTCAGTTCAGACCGCCTGCGCTGAAAGCAGCCAAGTTACAGCTTCTCTCTCCTCCTGCCGCTCTGAGCGCGCCTCTCCTCAGTCTGGACCGTGATTAGTTTCTCTGTCCTTTGCTTTAATTCTGTTAATGACAGGAAGAGTCAGAGCCCTCCCCACGTGGACCGGCCGCAGTGCGCAGGCAGCCGGTGGCTGTGTTTTTGTGCCGGTGCGTCTTGTACAAGGCGAGCGGAGCGAAATGGAAACAAAGTGTGGACGGAGTGTGTGTGAGAGTGCTGGAGCTCCGTGTGTCTGATGCGGAGAGCTGAGTGGGGGAATATCAAAGTGATGTCAGCAGAGCGTCACCAAGAGGACTTCAGCCGCAATACTGAACCCTCACAGCCACAGACGCACAATCCGAGCGCGGTGCAGTTTTAAAGGTTAGAAATACAGAAGGGACGCATCTGCATACCTGTACTGTGAGCTCCGGGTGTGTTCTGCTGACACCTGCCGCTTGTTTGTGTATATGTGCGCGCGCACGTGTGCGTGCGTGTGTTGGAGCAGATTTTCACTGTTGGAGATGGAGCATCGTCGTGATACAGAGTAACGACATAGAATCTTTTAAGCAGTTAAGTATTTAAATTTCATGCTTATAATATTTTTTTTTATTTGTTTCTGTTTCACTTTTCAGCGAAGATTCCGTACTTTCCCCGGAGCTGCCGCTTATTCACACGGTTACTGGTTATTTCCGGATTTCCCACATATGACTATATAAACTAGTGTTGGGGAACTACTTATAATCCAATCGCACCTTTTTATTTAGGGCAAGCAAAAACAAGTAGCCTTTCATACTCTACAAGCAGAGTCCTTAAATTGAAGTCCCCAGGCTTCTGGGTAATATTTTCTGCAACCCTTAATCGTGTGGAGGTTACATTACTGTACATTTATTTCATCCACAGTTCTTGTTATTTTCTGAACAAATGTCCTACAAACTGTGAGAGTTTTAGGTCTGCGTTTCCCCAACTCTCTGTAACATACTTCATGCACTCAACCATCAGAAGTTTGAGCTCTCGTGCACTCAAGGTAAATCTTTGATAGCAAATTTCCCTTTATGGAAGAGACCATCTATAACATTTAATTGTTGCTTTTTGGATTATATTAATAATTACATGATCTATGATAATAGCTTTTGTTATACTAATTTTAACAGACCACCTCTATTGCCACATTTTCTACTACAGATTAATCACAGTTTGTTCATCATGTAGAAACAAATGAAATGATGAAAATGTTTGCAATGAAAGCAGTGTCTTCACATTGGTTACTCTGTCTGACCAGCAGCCAAGAAATCATCAAAGTAATTTATTAAAATCACCGAGAAGCTTTGTCAGCAAATGGTAACTGAAGCTGGTTATCATGGATCAAAGTCATTATTGACTTCTGCCCTTCGATTTAGTGATAAATCATCTGACTATGTGAGTGAGGAATATAGTAAACAGTAGACATCACCGAGGGGGGTTTAGTGTGCCTGCTATGAATCAATAAAGGTCATGTTGTTCACATCAGATGTGATGTCTCCGTGGACTTCACATAATGCTTATTGTAATGGTTTTCTAGCCAAAGTTTTCTAAGAACTGAGTGGAAGCAGGTGCTCAGCTCACAGGGGAAGCCTTGTTGAAGGCATTCCAAAGAGAGACAAACCCTTCTGTAGTTGGAATAGTCATCCTTCTACAACTACACAAGGTGACCCCCCCCCCCCCCCCCCCCAAAAAAAAAAATGTAAACAGATATTGATATGTTAAAATAATAATACTAATGCAGCACAAATCCAATATTCCAGAAGATTAAAGAGAATGTGAAATGTATATAAGTGTGATATCCCATCATTATGGCTCAAAAGAAGACAAAAATATTAAAAGAAACATCTCAAGGAAACATCAAAGAGATTATGAGCTACTATTAATGCAAATGAAAACCATCAAATGGAGAAAACTAAACTTTCAAATCCAGATTTCAATTTATAGAATCCAGATTTTTGCTGTTTTATTTTCTCAGGTGTATTTTTAATGAAATCTGATGTTAAACATATTCATTTAGCTTCTTTTTTGGTTGTCGTAGTGTAAGTAAGTCCCAAAGTACTGCACAGCAACAATTTGACTTCTAGAAAAGCTTTGGAGACAACTCAAACCTCCATCGTCTGCATAAACATTCAGATTTCCACTTTATATGATGTATTTTGTTTCTTTGTCCAAAAGAACTACAAAAGAAATTGCACACATAAATTCAGGTTTGCAACACACGCGAAAAAGTTGTAAGGGATTGCAGTGGTGGGGGTTAAGTCTCTCTAGATGGATGCCGTCATTTACTTTGTTGTCCCTTCCACAGAAACAGTGATGCTGCGGGTTTTTTTAAAGACAGAAATGGTTCTCCTCCACACACAGAGGACGTTTGCCTGTCTGTTTAAGACGATAAGGACCATCTTTGAAATCCACTGCAGTGCTTTTTAAAGTTTCTGCTGAAATAAGTTGTACCAGCAGATTGACTGAGAAAGTTACTCTGTTCACAGCAACACACTGTAGAGGCGAAGCTCAATTAACTGTGTGATTGAGTCATAACTCCAAAATACTGCAGTGGGAAATATTTCTAATGCTGTTTGTGTTTTATAGTGATTTAAAATAAAACACTATCCAATATAAAATCTTTAGTTTATGCCAGTGAATAATACAGGTGACTGTTTATTCACACATTGGATGGCTAGATGGAATAATGGTAACATCAATTCAGTCGTTTCACAAACAGACAGTTCGACTAAATTATTTAAAAGTTGTAAATAAACTTGTAAATAAAAGTCTACCTCTTGGATTTGCAACCCTAGCACGTTGGAAGTGATTCATGTGGCACCCAGACAGGACATGCTGAAAGTTTTGCAGGTAATGTGAGAACTGGTTTTCTGTAAAACGCACAAGTGGGGTAGGTTAGTAATCAGATTTGCCTTTGATGTCTTTGTGTTTGTCTGATCCCTTAAGTGTACTTTTAAAATGCTGTTCAAATATCAGGTAACATTTGTACGTACCCACCAAATCAGTGTTTTTCATATGACGTAAATGAAAGCAGCTACCTCTAAATAATCAGGGTTTTGATTTACAAGAGGTAAATCAGAGTTCACAATTATGAAATAGTAGTTAAATAGTTAACTAGTTTAAAAACAGGGACCAGATCTGTTAACACTGGCAGTCAGTTACCCAGAGTCTCCCTGCAGGTGACCGGTGAAAGTGGCTGAAGGTGTTGCATGCTCCTGTTTTAGGGTCACTGAGCAGTGCTTATGTTGTAGTTGTAGGTGTGGTGACCAAAAACTATGTTCATGTAATCAGGCTGTATGTGTTTTATCATAACTAATTACCTGTTCACCCACATAATTAGAATCTGGACTTACAGCAGACAGTCTTTCATAGAATGAGTCTCACAGTCTGACAGAAAATAAAAGGGAAACAGATTTAACGAGGATGTACTTATCGCTTTTAAAATATTTATTTGGTAAATGGTTTTTGCTCAGCAAGTCACATTTGGAAAGCATTTTTTGGAAGGTCACCCAGGAGTCAAACCTCCAGCCTCACAAATAACGGTCATCCAGCTCCATCTGAGCTGCAGCTGCCTTCTAGTGCAACACCAAACAAATAAAATAAGACATATTTTTTTTTATACTCTAAACACTGAGAGTCTTGCCTGTGGTGAAAACGTATTTAAAGGCTTAAATAAAACATTGAGTAAGTTATGCTTTGCCTCCCCATACTGATATCAATATGATGAAAGATCTTGTTTTGCAGCTTACAGTAACAATGATGCCGTCGTGCTCCCACACCATCTGCAGTATCACAACAATCCCACTTATTCCAAAACCAGCAATCACTGTCACAGTGAAAACAACTCTTCATCACCCAGTCACAGCACCCACCTGTCTTTTCCAGCTGCAGTGTTACAGTGTAATGCACTCTCTGCTTGAGCACCATGATTTTTGCTTCAAGAAAACCAAATAACCACCTCTTTTATAGTGGAAAATGAATATAGGTCTCCCTGTACCTTCACTATTCAAAACATTTTACTGAAAAATAGCATGCACAACTGCCCTCTGAGAAGCTCACCTCCCTGCATACCTCTAAAACCATCCCCACTAAGCTCCCACCATTTTGCTGGGTGGCGTACCCAGCCGCCCACCTCTCCATTATCACCTCAATAGCGGGCTGCAAACTGGCCCACCCTCCATTTTGGCTCCAGCCTCAATCAGCCCATTAATCACAGCAGAGCAGGGAAACCTTCTGTCCTCTGAAGACTCGCAATGTATTCTGCTGGCCCCTGCTGTGTGTGTGTGTGTGTGTCTGTGTGTGTGTATGGTCCTGCTGCAGCATACAAATGATCCAGCTATATCCTGCCATCTGTTGACTGCTAAAAGTAATGCTTCTACACTGACATACACAAAGTTCATGATGTTTTCTGTCTGTCTTTTCATCTTTATCTAAACACATAATTACGTGATCCAAGGTTTATCTCAGCAAAAGAACAGATGGAATATAGCACGCAATCACTGCAAGTCTTCATAATTAAATAACAAAGTGGTTGTTGTTAGTCCAAATTCAGCTCCTGAGAGTGTTTGCACGAACTATCAATGTGGTTGAAGAATTCAGCATTTTGAGCCAACTACCTTTTACAAAAGGGCATGGAAAGATTGTCTTTATATTATTCTGCTTGAACTTTCAAAGTACTAAAAATATGTTACACTACAACTGGACCCAAGTCCTTAATATAGAATGACATTATTGTAGGCAGGTACAGACTAAAAAAGTCAGTGAACTTAAAGTGAAAGTCACATGTAGGGTGTGGAATAGTCCATTATCTTTTTTTGAAGGAAAACTGTGATCCAGACAGAGCAATGATGGATGGATGGATGGCAATATTTTACAGTACAGTACTGCTGGTGGGTGTTTCTCTGAAACCCAAAATCAACTTTAATGTTTTTGAAAACAAAGCCCACCCCCTTGGCCACAGTAATCCCCTACAGCTCAATCCTCCTGCAGCTCATGAAACATGAGAAAAAGCCCAAAGTATTGCCTCATCCCCCAAACTCTCTAAACGCCAGTATGACTCAGCATCCATGAGATGCACCATAAAAAAGCCCAGTGCACCCAAAGTAGCTGCCAGTACCCAGATATCTGGAATCACAGCATACCCACACCAAGCCACAGTCATACTAGGGAATGCAGTGGTTGGAGACCATGGCAAGGCCAAAACTATTCCAAACATGTGCCATAAACTTACAATCTAGATGCCTTTAAAAGTGTTGCTTCCAAGACAGAAACCAGGTCTGTGCCCACTCCAAGCTAGTTTTCAGCTTCAGAGCATCTTTGGTGTATGGAGGTGGAAATAAAACTGCATTAAGCATAAATTGTGTTTTTAATTGCAATTGAATGGGGTCAGCTTGACAATTAAATAGAATGTTTTTAATAATGCAGCAATTAACTGTGATCACTCTATGAATATTGTTTACATACATAGAA